TTTTTATATATAAAATTTGCAAAAACTACCACATTGCGATTTTGTTTTTTAATGTTATTAGGCTCTTATTTATCACAATTTTCAGATAATAAAAAGAAATATACAATTTGGATGTTACTTGTTTTTGTAGACGTTTTTTTAAATTTATGGCTTACTATTATTTATAAAATCACATAACGCTGTTTGCAAGTAGACCACTCAAATGTTAAAAAGTCCAATTGCTTCCGACTGACGTTTTGATTTGAAATTTTGAAAATAACTATTATTTTCGATCCCTGAAAAAATCTACTATTATTACTATTATTTATAAAATCACATAACGCTGTTTGCAAGTTGACCACTCAAATGTTAAAAAGTCCAATTGCTTCCGACTGACTTTTTGAATTGAAATTTTGAAAATAACTATTATTTACGATCCCTGAAAAAATCTACAAATTTAAACAAAATTGCATCAAAGATTCAAACGAAATTACAACTCACAGCATTGCCATCAAACAAAAAAATTGTTGTTCGGTTCGGTTCGAAGCCCGAAAAAATCGCCAGTTCGGTTAAACACCGGTTTGCAGCCCTGCCTTGAACGCTTCGAATATTTGTAAGGTGGTGGAAGAGGGTTGCCACCTGTTTAAAATGTTAAATTTAAGTTATTTTATATACATATGAATTATAAAAATATGGGTATCAAGCGAAGAGGGTTTGAAAATTTTTTATTTCTGAACTGTATTTATAATCAGTTAATTAAAATATGTATCGCAGTGTTTGGCGAAGGAGGGCTAACAAATATTAAGCTTAAAAATACTTTTGGAGAGGGCAGCCACCTATTTGAACGGTCTAACTCATTTAACTAATTCAAAAAGTATATGAATTATAAAAACTCCGTAGTGAAGCGAAAGAATGTTAAAAAATCTTTAAAAAGTTATGTTTGAAATTATTCAGTAAGTTGGATGAATTATTAAAAGCATAGTTGCCAACTTGGTGCTTTAAGCACTAGATTTAGTGCTTTTTGAAAATTAAAACGCAAAAAAAAAATTATTTAGTGCCTAGTGCCTTTTTTAGTGATTTTTTCTGAACTAAAATTACTTTGAGATAGTTAAAACCTGAAATAATTTGAAATATTTAAGGCTGTGGCAGCACTGAATTTACAAGAATCTACAAATTTAAATGGACTAAAATACAACCATGATTGATAAAAAGCTGAAGTTGCAAGCCCACCTTGTAAAATTCTATTCGCGTTGAAAATGATAGTACGCAAGTAAGTTAAGTATTTGTTTTTTCTTTTCTAATTATTTGTACAAATTTTGTTTTTTTTTTGTACCACCTGAGTAAAACACATCGTTTCTTGGTGCTGAATCCAAATCTGGCCTCACAATTGCTCTAGCACTAGAATTTTGAGATATCCTAACCTCAAAGTGCCAAAAACACGGTTTTTAGCGATATTTGAGGTTATGTAATGAAAACATCAAATTATTTGTTCATATCTAATTAGGGCATCAATTCCGTTTGATGCGATTCGATTTTTCTTTCTCGAGATATACCAGTTTTAATGTGCAGTACTTCGGTATTATGTTATGAAAAAAGCATCCCTTGATTCAAAAAAATTTGGTGGTTTTACTGTGGTAAAACGCTTTTTGTCCAAGTTTTTGGTGCTTTTTGAAAATCAAATGATGGCAACACTGATTAAAAGATGGGTATAAATCGAAATGGGTTTGAAAGGGATTTATTCCTGATCTTTATTCAGGAGGGTTGACATTTGTTCGAACAGTAGAATTGGAATTAGTTCATCAGTTTATTGAAATACATGTGCATCACAATGATTTAAGAAGAATTTAGTTGGAGAAGAGGTTTGAAAAACAATTTCAAAAATTTGGGATCAAATTAGAAATCCTGGCCAGTCGATGAATGAAAAAGTTTTATTTTTTTCATTAACTATTTTTTCATATAGGGTGATTTGAAATTCGATGAAAATAAAAACATGCACTATGCCAGACCGCTCTTCACTCAGAAACGGTTGCACGGTTTTGATGAAATATGGCACTCGGATCTCTTATAACTCTGACTAACATTTTGAATATTTATTTTAAGTTCTTTAAATTAAATTTTGGGCGTTTAACGCCATGCGGTGCACTGGTTATTATCATTATACTTATGTCGGGGATACCCGCGCTGCGACCTAAGAAGATCTTTTGTGCTTCACCCTATTTGTAATCACTCCAACCTAAGGCTATTTAAGAAGTTAAATACTTTGGAAGGCTCCATGTTTCAAATTTTGAATGAAGAAGACAATCTTTTCCCAATGTTTATCAGTCTGCTATTTATGATACATGGGCAGTGATACAGAATATGTTCTGGGGTTTTCTCCACCAGCTCACAAAAGCCTAGGGAGCATGCAAACGCATTTGGGCTCCGAGCTTTGCGAGACTGTCAGCCCATTCGTTGCCTTCAAACCCTTCATATCCCGGAACCCACCAAAGCGTTACGCTATTGTGGGCCTCCTCCAAGTGGTTCAAACGAGTTTTACGGCTGCCCACAAACCTGATGCCGTTTTAAAATAGTCTAAGGCCCATTTGTCCTTCTACGCAGATTGCGAAGACTTCCGTCTGGAATATAGTTGGGTATGTGCAAACTTGCAAGCTTTTCTGGAATCTTGGTCCAAATACGCCTGCCCCAGTACTCTCGTCGTCCATCTTTGATCCGTCAGTATACCATACTTGGGACTCTTCGTCAAACATAGTTGTTATCGCTTCACAGCAGTGCTTTCAGGAAATCTGACCTAGTAGGGTTTGTAGAAGGATAACTCGGAATTATCCTGGAATGGCCTTAGAACCTCCATATGACCCCGAAGATCTTCAATTGTTCTTGCTGATCATATTGGGTAGTCGTAGAATAGACAAAGGAGGAATGCCTGTAATGACATAAAGGGCATCCGTAGCACAGGTGCCCATATCTCCTGTGATGCCCGCGCGGACCGCTTGCTCAAGGTGGCACCCGCATTTACTTGCTTAGCTAGCTTGTAGGCACATAAAGTATATACCTTGGATGTTCATATTGTATATTGGGAATATTGTACTTACCAATCAGGTATTATATGTATTTACATCTCCACGGTTCCGCCGTTATACGGTGAAATATCCGTCTAAACAAGGTTGTTAAAATATAATATATTTTTCGCAAATAACTATTACCTATTGTCGCTGAACCTACCAAAATCCAATCTAACCTACCAACCTACCAAATGGAAAAAAACCTACCAGTATTGGTAGGAAAATCTCGTTGGGCAACACTGATTCTAAACAAAAGCTTAAAGTTTTCGGCCCGGGTCGTGCCATAGTAATGTCATAAACGTAGTATATTTGACATGCTTCATGCATTTTCCTACATTTCGTTCTAGCTGTCAAAGCAAATCTGGCATGGCCTATATATCATTGCCTGAATTCACAAAGGCTCTAACCAACAGATTTTTTATTTTACAGGAGAAGCAAAAAAGATAAAATTCAAATCATGCATACGTATATGGCGTTTTAAAAAGTGGCATAACTCCGTTGTTTTTGGTACTAACACTTTAAAATTTTTAGTAAAGGTGTATTTTTATATATCCTACAAATATCTGTGAAAAGCGCTGTTTCGAAAAAAGTGTTGGTTAGGGCCTTTGTGAATTAGGGTGACGATATGTATGTACATATATCTTGAAATTTGGTTTTTGAACTAATCTCCAAAACTTAAGTATATACATAGGTATGTATTTTACCTACCTCATTGCGCGACGCGTCAAGTCATGAACCCTGAACCTAGTGCTTTCAGCACGAAATACAAATGCAGAAAATCGTGCAGAATGCTGTTTTGAAAACATAATCGAGTGTATTTATAAGTTTTATTGTCGAATTTGTAGTGTAGGTACGTTTTAATGTTTTTAAAAGATGCGTATGCATGTTCATTTCGTTATTGTTAATTAGTATGTATGTAATTTCTATATGTACAATATATGAATGTATGTACATATGTACAGACTATGTATACTCTCATGTAAGAATGTACAATTATTACATAAGTATAATGTAAATGTATTAGTTTTCTTGTGTTGGTGCAATTAAGGTGTTAACTCACAGTTCGTTCCAAAACGAGTTACAAAATTTTAACGTCAAGATTTTTTGTAACCTTTTAAGCATCAAACTATGCAGCAGTCTTTTCCGTCTGTCATTGCAAAAGTTTACTGGTGTTTCAAGACCTTTCTTACTTTCTCCACTCGGCACTTGGAGTAAAGCTATACGCAAAATACGTCGATTACAGCATACGTCTTGTAAGGGGAGACAAGGATGAACAAATTCTAGGCTATCTCAGCGACCAATACACGAATATTAATTTCAGTATGGATAAGGAAAACGAAGGAAAAATAAACTAATTGGACATAACAATTAAAATAAATACGGCTACCAACAAATGCGAATTCGGGATATATAGAAAGCCCATGGCAACAGACACGATAATACACAACACAGGGTTGACATTACATCAAAATTGTAATTGTTTTACAAATATTTGTAATTTTTCTTTTACCTTAATTTGTTTGGTTTTATCAGCCATTTTGTTAAAAAAAAAATCGAACGCATAAAACGCCCCCAATAAATTAAAAAATCAGGTTGAAGTTGCCATAATGCATCCCAGATGTGAGATTACAAAAAGTAGATAATTAAAAACATACCCTTCGAGTGTAGACGGCGTCGTTTTACAATTTTGCATGTGAAACAACAATACGGCTAGAAAAAGCTCCAAAATGTTGACGAAACCATTTTTAAACCCATTTTAGAACGTACTGTGAACTTCTCAAATAATTATTCGCCTTAATGCATATAAATTCCAAAGTTCATTGTGTGTTGCAAAGGTAATATTGGCTACAATTTCACAAAATATTAGTAAGGATAGAGATTTTTTCGTTTTAGCTCCATATCTAAATCGGCAAGTTGTTGTAAAAATCCTTCATTTGGTCGAATTTCGCGTTTCATACGCACTTTTCTTATCGCATCCGATGCAGACATTTTGCGGCAGATCATCAAATAAGCCAATACACACGTGGCTGACCTTGACATGCCCACCATACAATGAACAAGAATCTTCCCTAAAATGTATTAAAAAATTATTAATTAATTAAAGATGTATGCAGGTATGTATGTGGGGCGTTCCATACCAAAATGGACGGGGTTCACACTTCATGTGTTTAATTTGTTTAAAATTTTTGGGGTTGATGGATAATTAATAAAAAAGTATGAAATTTGAACTTGACTAATAAATTTTTAAAAACTTTACAGCACAAAAACAAAAACGAATCGATTTAATAGTATTCCAAATATCTCGCGAACGGGGCGAGAAAAAAGTTTAAAATTATCACACATACGCACGTCAAAATTCTCTATGAAAATAAATATTTAAAAAATTTTTTTTCTTCAAAAATTTTTCAGATACAAATTTTTTGTTTTTGAAAATATGTCATCTAACAAAAAATTAAAAAAAATCACAATGGTAGCTCCGAGTATTGCGCAATGTTTAAGTATAGTATTATGGGGTGCACTCTTCGATAACTTGAAATATAAATTTTTTTTACATCGAAGTTGAGTAATTTACAAATTTTAAATTTTTTTTTTGTGGAATTATTTTGAGTATGCAAAATTGCGTTGATTTTTAATATTTTTTATGCTGACGCCTTTTTGCATTGTTTTCTTATGGAATCAAATGCGCAAAACCGGTTTCAAAAAAATAAAAAAAATCAACGCCGGTTTTGCAATCGCTTAAAACTTGCACTTTGTTATACTAAAATTTAATGGGCTACAAAACTGCATACTCAAAAACAAAACTGCTTTCTAAAAAAATTTGAAAAATTTTTAAATTTGTGATGTACTAATTTTACTCAACTTCGGTGTTAAATAATACTATACTTAAATATTGCGCAATATTCAGAGCTACCATTGTGATTTTTAAATTTTTTTGGGATGGCATATTTTTAAAAACTATTTTTATTTAATCAAAAAATTTGTATGTGAAAACTTAAAATTTTTTTTTAAATATTTCCTTTCATAGAGGATTTTGATGTGTGTATGGTGATTTTTTTCAAATTTTTTCCCCGCAACCTTCTCGAGATATTTGGGAAAGTATTAAATCGATTTGTTTTTGTTTTTGTGCTGTAAAGTTTTGAAAAATGTATTAATCATGCTCAAATTTCATATTTATTTATTACACTGTACAACACTCGACTGGGTATTGGACCAAACCAACTTTTTTTAAGAGATTGAGTCATAAGTAAAAAAAGTACGTTCTCCGTTTTTCGTTTTTTTATTACACTGTACAGCACTCGACTGGGTATTGGACCAAACCAACTTTTTTTAAGAGATTGAGTCATAAGTAAAAAAAGTAGGTTCTCCGTTTTTCGAAGTGGAGTACGTGGTCCGCCTTTTTCTCTTATTTACATATATTGTATACATATAAGTTTTTTAGTGAAAACTTATATTACAGGTGCTATAACGGCCAAAGGTCTGATTTTCGAAAAAAAAACCACATTTAAAGGAAAAAAGAACTTTCTTTCATAAAAAAAAATATTTAAACAAGAATATTACCAACCGATTTTTGAACAATTGATACCGTTGTAAAGGCAATTAAACCCCCTTTCCTCTGATATGCATATTTGTATACTCCGTTTATATTCGCCTTTACAGTGATACCAAGTTTTTAAAAATCGGTTAGCATTTTTTTGTCTAAAATAATTTTTTAAAGGTATTTTTTTTTTGTTAATTCTTATATACAAAGATGCATATCCAATGAAAGGCGGTTTAATCGCCTTTATAACGATACCAACCTTTTAAAAATCGGTTAGTAATTTTTTTTGATTACATGTTTTTTTTATAAAAAAAAAGGTATTTTTTCCTTTAGCTGCGTTTTTTCTCGAATTTTTATATACTAAGTATACAAATATGCATTTTAGAAGAAAGGGGATTTAATCGTCTTAACACTGATACCAATATTTTAAAAACTGTTAGTAATTTTTTGTTTAAAATATTTGATATTTAAAAAAAGGTATTTTTACATTTGAATGTGTTTTGTCTAAAATTATTATTAACGAAGTATACAAATATGCATACCGGAAGAAAGAGGATTAATCGCCTTTATAACCATACTAACCTTTTAAAAATCGGTTAATTATTTTTTTGTTAATTTTTATTTTTTTTTTTAAAAAAGGTATTTTTTCCTTCAAATGGGTTTTTTCTCTAATTTTTATTTACGAAGTATACAAATATGCATATCAGAAGAAAGGGGATTTAATCGTCTTTACAACGATACCAATTTTTTAAAAAACTGTTAGTAATTTTTTTGTTTAAAATATTTGTTTTTATAAAAAAAGGTATCTTTACATTTAAATGTGTTTTTTTCTAAAATTTTTATATACAAAGTATACAAATATGCATATCGGAAGAAAGAAATCGGAAGAAGGTGAACGATATAAATTTTTTAAAAATCAGTACAAAGTTGTTTGCACCATAAGGAATTTTTCGATGACCGAAGTTATATACCATTTAAATAAGAGCAAAAGGAGGACTAAGTTAATATTTTTAGGTTTTTAGTTATTTACATGAAATAATTAAATATAATTTTTTACCAAAGGTCCTATTTCGAACTTCGAAGGCCAATATTTCGATTACGGAGGCCAACTTCGAAAAAAGGAGAAATCACTGTTTTACCTATGACTCAATCTCTTAAAAAAATTGGTTTGGTCCAATACCAAGAAAAAGGTTGATTTTGCCGTACAGTGTTATTTATGTTTATCCATCAACCCTAAAAAAAAAAAAAAAAAAATCAAACACATGAAGTGTGAACCCCGTTCATTTTGGTATGGAACGCCCCATGTATATGTATATGTATGTATATAGGTTGTTATGAGATAAGTATGTTCAACTCACCTCCACTACTGATGGCACTGTCTATGAACTTCGCAGCAACATAAAAGTATCGAGATATATCAGTGGTAGGAGCATCAACCAATGGAAAGCCCATATACCTGAAAATAGTATCTTTGTTGTTTCTTCTACAATATTTCAACAGTGTTTTTTGTCGAAAATAACAAATTGTATGTGAATGAATCAACAAAGCCGTACGGTTTTCATTAAATAAAATATTTGTTTTTTTCTAATTATAAACTATGCGTACATATGTATGTGCACACATATGTATGTATGTATATATGCATGTGTGTATATATGATATTATATTTTCCTCTTACAGAAACTACTTTTAACTATCCATCCATCAACTTGAATTTGAGGCTACCGGATCACTGCAGAGTTTTCCAAACAGAGGAATCCGCAATAAGGGAATCTTCGGATTGGTTGCTCTCTAGTGTAGGGATGTTCAAATAAGATCGGTGTTTCCAAAAACCGGTTTTTTTTTATTTAGTTAATGATATTTTTCAGTATTTTTTTTAATTTAGGTGTTAATCGTTCAAATTAACTACTTACTTATTTGATTGCACAATCAGGAACTACGAAAGTAGGTATATGGTCAAAATCGTTATATCTGTTGGATATTTTTCGGAAGAAAATATATCATAATAAGAGTTACTGTGGCTGGCGAAAATCCTCGCATTGAACCCTCCGCGAGGGTGCCGGCTGGAAATGTTTCTGTGGAAATGTTCTTTCCATCACTCTGCCATACGGAAATGGTCCTCGATCGTGGTCTGGAGGTAGGGGCTGGATTAAGGCGTTATGCGTACCGGACTGAGGATCAGCCTGTCTGGGAGCCCCTAAATAGCCCAGTCGCTAATGGAGCCCTCTGGAAACCAGGCCGGTTGCATTCGATGGCCTTACCCTGGGTACTGCGGATCTCTGCCCGGGGCCGACGAACCCTTTCTCCGCGACTCGTGGGAATATGAGCGATACACAAAAAACCAAACCAAACAAAAAACAACAACAATGGAAATTGAGACCGGCACCCATATAAAGTCGTAAGGGCTGTTGCCCAGACACTATGGGGCCCATGCGCTGCAGGGTCCCTCTACTAGCCACGACGTGGCCAACATCAGTGGAGTAAGCCTCTGGCGATGCCGGGGTCTCGTGCAACCACAAAAGCGGAATGGAATAGGGTGGGGGCACCGAAACGGGATTTTCCCGGCACCAGCGAAGGCAAACCTGGCTTGCAGCTTGCAGCCCCAGGGGGCACTAGAGCTGATGCGCGGGCCACGCCTCCCTCTACACCTACTGCCTTCACAAAGCCTGATGACAGGCCACCACCAAGCGCAGCTATTGCTAAGCACCGGAAGGCTGCCATGAGGATCTTAAAGAGATCCGCTTTAACACCGGACCTGTGTAGCAGGGCGCTGCCCTGTCACGTGGAAGAGATCCGGTCAGAAATAGCGTGGGCAATGACGATAGTGCCCGACTATCAGCTCGGAGAGCCGCCAGCTGCGGAAAAGCGCAACAGCGCAATTGGCGAGCATCTGCGTTAGCGTGCTTCAGGAGCACCCCGAACCACCTCCAATATGCCGGGACGCAGGTTGGTTCCAAGGCAACGTCAAGGTCGTCGCGTGCGAAGACGAAAGGTCTGCGGGCCTGTACAAGAAGGCGATGGCCACACTGGGAGAGGTCTTCCCAGGAGCGATGCTACGGGCTATGGACCTCAAGGACATCTGTTGAAAGCAACATTGTTTAATGGCAACACTAAAGTGCAAAATCAACTTTCGTTAAGTTCATTAATACGTGGCATATTTTAATTGGCTATTGTATTCAGCTATTTAACTTTGTTGTCTGATATTCCTGTAATTTTTTTCATATATAAAAACCTGTACATAGAATATTTTTTCTACTACTTCTTAGTTCGTTTAATATTGCACATAAAACATTTACATATACTTGCTTAATTGACCTCGCCCGTGTATTGATTTAACAGGTTATGGGCCCAGCGTGGTTCAATTAAATAAGAGTTAATTAAAGTAAATACAAAGTTGCAATTAGAAAAGTTAATCGTAATTAATTAAATAAAATGACTGAGGAGTCCATCCATATTTCCCACCGGCTAAACAACAGCAACTACAGATTGTGGAAGTTCAATGTCGATGCGGTGTTAAAAGGCCATGGACTACTAGGAATAGTACAAGGGACATCGAAACTCAATGATTCGGTCTCCCAAGATCAAAAGGATTTATGGATGAAGCGTGACGGTAAGGCCATGGGAATCCTTATTACTTCTATCGAAAAAGATCAAGCAAACCATGTGCTGTCATGTACCAGTTCGAACGAAGTCTACGATAAGTTGAGAAATATCCACGACAAACAAAGTGAAGTCAAGGTTATGTGCCTTTATGAAGAATATTTCTCGCTACGAATGCAGGAAGACGAGCCAGTTGCAGCATATGTGTCGAAGGTATCACCCTTGCGGCAGAAATAGAGGCACAAGGAGAAAAGCTATCCGACAATATTAAGATGGTACGAATCATAAGCAGTTTGCCATCAAGGTACCAAAACTTCAAAACCGTGTGGTACAACATAAAGGAAGGCAGAACTATAGAAAATTTGATGGCAAAGCTACAATTAGAAGAAGATAAATTCAAGAAGAATAGCAATGCAGAAGTTACAGAAGCTGCGTTTAATGCAAAGTCGGGAAAATTCAAGAAGTCAATCGCCGAACGAAAGCGCACATCAAAATGAAATTTTTGTAATAAAATTGGACACTGGGAGAGAGAATGCCGTGCAAGGAAAAGACAAATCAAACAAAAAGACGAAGGCAACAAGCAGAAAGACAAAAGCGGTGATGAGGTAGCATTTATTGCGTCAACGTCAGATGTTATGTCAGCTCCATATAGTGACGTGTGGATCGCTGACTCAGGTGCTACAGAGCACATGACTTCACGCAAAGAGTGGTTCGCAGATTTACAGATGTCAAATTCAGACCGGTATGTTTACATTGCAAATAATGAGAAACTCCCCATTAGAGGTTTCGGTACTATACAAATATATGCTCTGGTAAACAACAAGTGGATACCTCGTGTCCTCACAAATGTACAATACGTCCCTCAACTACGGCAAAACCTGTTTTCTACTGGGTCAGCAACAACAAAAGGCTTCTCGATGTTAATCGAATCCAAATCTTGTGTGTTGATGGATAAAAACAAAAATAAGTTGGCATCGGGCACTCGTGACTCTAAAAATCAATTTAGAATGATGTTTATACAGCGAAATGATTATGCAGCAAACTCAGCACAACTTGATACACTGCAACAATGGCATTGCAGACTTGGACACATAAATACAGCAACAATAAAAACCATGTGTGATAAACATTTAGCTGATGGTATTAATGTGACGGACAAAAGCGATTTCTTTTGTGAAATTGCAAGCGAGGAAAAATGCATCGGTCGTCACATGGAGCTGCAGAAAAGCGCAAAGCAAACAAATGCGAGTACTTTCACATGGATTTATGCGGCCCTATGCCTGAGCCTGGTGTTGGTGGAGTTCGCTATTTCATGTTGCTTAAGGATGAAAGCACATGTTTCAGGTATGTTTATTTTTTATCTAATAAATCTGAAGTGCTCCAAAAACTGAAATGTTTCATTTCTATGGTACGCAACATGACTGGCGAAACTGTAAAATATATTCGGTGCGACAACGGCACGGAGTTTATGAATAAAGACGTCGCCGAGCTGCTGGCGAACAATGGTATTGTTCTGGAGAGGATCTCGCCGTACACCCCGGAGCAAAACGGTTTCATCGAAAGGGAAAATAGGACCGTTCAAGAATCAGCTCGTACCATGTTGCTGGCAAGCGGTCTAAACAAAACTTTGTGGCCTGAAGCCGTAAGAACGGCAGTATATATTCTTAATCGATCAGCATTGGCAAATCGGTTAAAAACGCCATTCGAAAGCTGGTTTGGTAGAAAGCCAGATTTGAGTCACTTGAAGGTTTTTGGCACCGAATGCATGGTCTACCTTCCCAAACAGCTCGGAAGAAAAAAGTGGGACGCCAAAGCAAAGAAGATGTTCTTAGTTGGCTATGAACCTTCGTCAAAAAATTTTCGTCTGTACGATCAAGAGACAGCTAAGGTAATAAGAGTTGGACCTTTTCACGATGAGGACGAAGAAGAAACAAACAATCTTAGCCATGAACAACAAGATGAAAACGTTTTTTCACCTTTTCGACAGCATATATCTAGCACACCAAAGGCTTCGATGAAAACGGAAGCATCAACAACCGACGCGTCGACTACACCTACCAATTCTGCATCTACTGATTCAAGTATTGACGCAAGAGAGCACAAGCGGTATGGCCTACGGAAAGAAGTTGTACCCCCTCAACGTTTTGGTTACGATTACATGGGCTGTTTTGCAGCTATCCCAGAACCGGATTCATATGATGACGCGGTGAATTCGGAATATGCAGAAAACTGGAAAGTGGCTATAAACGAGGAAATAAGCTCCCTTGAGCTTAATCATACTTGGGATTTGGTCGAAAATGTGATAAAAATATTGTAGGCTGCAAATGGGTGTTTAAAATTAAATCAATACCAAATCAAAAACCAGTATTTAAAGCACGATTAGTGGCCAAAGGTTATTCGCAAGAACCTGGTATAGACTATAAGGAGACATATTCGCCAGTAGTGCGATATGATTCAGTGAGAGTTGCCATGGCGATAGCTGCTTTTGAAGATATGGATATGATGCAATTTGATGTAAAAACTGCGTTTTTATATGGCGATCTCAGTGAGGAAATTTATATGAGTATTCCAAAAGGCATCAATGTTACTTCCGGTAATAATTTAGTTTTGTGTCTCAAAAAGGGTCTTTACGGCCTTAAGCAAGCCTCTCGTAATTGGAACTCAAAATTTACTGATTTTTTACAAACATATAAAATGAAGCAATCCAGATCCGACCATTGTGTCTTTTATGGGAGTATTCAAAATCGTAAGATTATTTTGCTTCTATATGTTGATGATGGGTTGATAATATCTCCTAGCAAAACTGCTTTAAATTTATTTATTGAAAAATTGTCAAGCAATTTTCGTATCACTTATGGTGAAAACAATTACTATGTTGGACTTGAAATTCACAGAGACAGATTAAATAAAACTATTAAAATCTGGCAGCGTTCCTATATATTAAAAATACTTAAAAGATTTAATATGGATGATGCAAAAGATATTTCAACACCAAGTGACAGTAATGTGTATCTTTCGAAATATAGCGAGGAAGGCAATGTAAAATATCCATTCAGAGAAGCTGTGGGCTGTTTGATGTTTGCAGCTACTGTATCCAGACCTGATATTTCGTATGCAGTTGGCGAAGTTAGCAAATTCACCGAAAATCCTAAAAACTGTCATGTACAAGCCGTCAAGAGGATATTTCGTTACTTGAAAGCGACAATAGACTACTGCATAGAGTACAGATCAGGTAATGCTCTTCAATTTGAAGGCTATTCTGATGCAGATTTCGCTCGTGACATCGATACAAGGCGATCTACAACAGGCTATGCGTTTCTCATAAACGACAGTGTCGTAACCTGGAGGAGCCATCGTCAAAAAACGGTTGCTTTGTCCACAACGGAAGCCGAGTGTATGGCCGCGTGCGAAGGGGCCAAGGAGTTAATTTGGCTTCCACAACTTCTATCTGATGTTGGTTACATTCAAGATTCACCTACGATTCTTAACGTCGATAATCAGGGTGCAATTCGACTCATAGGAAATCCGGGATTGCATCACAGTACGAAGCATATTGATATAAGGCTGTATTTCATCAGGGAGCTACAAAAGAATAAAGCTGTTGAATTCAAATATGTCAACACTGAGCTGCAACGTGCTGATATATTTACGAAGCCCTTAACAAGTCAACGTTTTAAGAGTAATTTAAAGCTTTTAGGGATGTCGCATTTAAACAATGAGTGAGAGTGTTAAAAGCAACATTGTTTAATGGCAACACTAAATTGCAAAATCAACTTTCGTTAAGTTCATTAATACGTGGCATATTTTAATTGGCTATTGTATTCAGCTATTTAACTTTGTTGTCTGACATTCCTAACTGTCATTTTTTTCATATATAAAAACCTGTACATAGAATATTTTTTCTACTACTTCTTCGTTCGTTTAATATTGCAAATAAAACATTTACATATACTTGCTTAATTGACCTCGCCCGTGTATTGATTTAACAACATCCCATATTAATTTCCGAGTTATCCTCTCACAATTGGAATTTGGTGCGACTAGAGCATAGCACAAAGGCGACTCGTTAGGCGGTCCTTCCGCTAAATAAGGAGTCCTTGCCACTCCTCGAAAAGACTGGGGGCGTCATTAATTACGGTTTCGACGCCGTGAAGATAAGGGTGTACACGAACGACGTGAACGCAACAAGAGGCAACGAAGTTGAGCAGGAAGAAGGCAATAGCAAGGATGAGTCGTTCGAGGAATCCAACCAGGCCAATCTGATGGACGACCTGGCTGGTGGATACGCCTCATCTACATCCCCTCTGGGAGTCGACCATATCTTCCGGCAATGTACAGACGACGACGAGGCAAACTCAACAGTGGTGAAGGGGGTGGGAAGGTGCGGCCAAGATGGTTCGCTTCCTCCAGATTAATCTCCACCACGCCTCATCCAGGAGCCTTGGGTGATAGGGCATAGAATTTGGGGGCTGAAGTCGACAGAGCTACCATAGGTAAACCCTGCATCCTTGTAAGTACCAAACTAAAAATATTGTTTCTTCTTCAGTTCAGTGACGAGGACACCACTACCATCAGTCTGGAGGCGAACGGACACAAATAAGGCTTGCCTCGATGTATCTGGCACATGACAGGCCTGTTCAAACCTTACCGGTCGAACATTTAGCGCTCGAACGGGGCCCTGATTTTAGGAGGTGATGCGAATGCACACCATAGCACATGAGGAAGCGGAGACATCAATGAACGGGGTGAGTCACTCTTTGAATTCATACTAAAACCTAACTTAGTTATAAGCAATAGGGGTAGCGAGCCTATCTTCATAACGAAGAGCAGAAGAGGTCCTTGATGTTACCCTCGTCTCATAAGATGCGGAGGTTATGATCAGGAACTGGACCGTGCTTGATGAGCATTCCTTCTCTGATCACCGCTTCATCCAATTCGACTTAGATGGGGTCCCGTCGAAGGTACCTCCCAAAAGAAATCTAAAGAAAGCCGACTGGCATAAGTACAGAAAAGAGCTTGATAAGCGCCTCTCAAGAACCACACTAGCAATTCCAGGGAACTCTACGGACAAAGATGGGCTGGCAAATCGCTTTACTGCGGCGTGTGGCAAGGCTCTGGATCAGGCCTGCCCCATGGTAAAGCCGAGAGGCAAAAAGAAACCACCTTGGTGGAGTTCAGAGATTGACGAGAGCCTTGAGAGATTGTCGTAGAGCCTTCAATCTCGCAAAATCCTCGGGAGGCGATATGCAATGGGAAATCTATAAGTTAAACTTGAAATATTACAAGAAATTATTAAGGAAGAGCAAGACATCCTCATGAAGGAACTTCTGCAGTGGTATGGAATCCATATAAGAAGGTTCTAGGCTCAGGAAGGTTCTCTCTAGTTCACCTCGTATCGCCCCGGGATGCTTGCTAAGATCCGACGGAGCGTGGACGGAAACTGGGGAGGAATCCCTAGACCATCTTCTGAGCACGCACTTTCCAGGCGCCACGGACCAGCCACTGAACGAGCCAATAAGAGATAGAGGTCAACCGGTTACAGTAGACCTTACCACCAAAGAAAAAGTAATGTGGGCAATAGGATCCTTCAAGCCTTACAAATCTGCGGGTCCAGATGGTGTTATACCGATTCAGCTGCAGCAATCTATGGAGCTAAGCTCAAAATGACTGTATGCTATTTTTAAGGGAGTCGTCACTCTTAACATCATTCCGGAGACCTGGCAAAGGTCAAGGGTTGTCTTCATTCCTAAAGCGGGAAGAACATCCCATACTGGCGCCAAAGATTTTAGACCTATTAGTCTATCATCTTTCCAGCTCAAGATAATGGAGGGACTGATTGAATCCTTTCTTAGGGAATCGGTTGCAGACAAACTTATGGCTTCGCAGCATGCCTATATGAAGTGGAAGTCCACCAAAACAGCGCTACACGAAATCGGGTCGCATATTGAGAAAGCCCTTGCGATAAAGGAATACACCTTGATAGCATTCTTAGACATTGAGGGTGCTTTCAACAACATCACAATTGAAGCAATCACATCAGCTCTAACGGGTCTGGGCATCGACTCACAGCTGGTGTCGCTTATACGACAGCTGCTAGTAGGCAGAGTCGTGCGGGCGGAACTGGCGGGGTTGTTGCTGGACAGATACGTTTGCAGGGGAACCCCGCAGGGTGGGGTCCTCTCCCCCCTTTTATGGGTCATGGCGATTAATGAATTATTGCAGACCCTGGAAGGGCGGGGGGGGCTCCAAGGTCATTGCGTATGCTGACGACCTTGCGGTGGTTGTGATTGGAAAATTTCCACAAACTCTGTGTGACATTATGCTGGACTGACTAAGGTTAATCGAAAGATGGACCAAGGAGAAAGGTCTGGGTGTTAACCCAGATACCTGGTGCCTCTTTACCAGGAAGTACGAAATCCCTTCCCTTCAGCTTCCTGCCATAGACAATAAGATTCTGAAGCTAAGGGAGTCCGCAAAATATCTAGGCGTAGTCCTGGACAAAAAGCTGCATTATGCGCAAAATATACAAGAGCGTGTAAAAAAAGTCGACGGTAGCCCTCTACAGCTGTAAGGGGCGATTGGGCGTAGCTGGGGGCTGTCCCCTAACATCATGTACTGGCTATACACGGTAGTTGTTAGGCCGATTCTATTATATGGGGTCTTGGTATGGTGGCCAAGCCTCAACAGGAAATCTACAACTGAAGCACTCCAAAAGGTGCAAAGAACTGCGATGCTCTGCATCTGTGGGACTCTGCGCACAACTCCATCGGAGGCTATGTGCGTGCTGCTCGATATTTTGCCAATTGAAATTGTTGGAAAACAATCAGCGGGGTGTGCCGCCTTGAGGTTGAGGGAACTACCAGGCTGGAGGGACACTCAGGAAGGCCACACCGCAATCTTAAAGAACGTAAATATACCAGACACAGATTACTGTGCACCAAGCTTGAACTTCATAAAGAGGCAAAGGATTTCCATTCCAGATACAAAATTCTGGTCAGGAGGGGCTTCCGATGACAATGGATCACTCCACCGATGGCTAGACGGCAAGGTAGGAGGGGGAGGGGCGGGGTCTTCTCAGCGCGGCTGGGGCTGGACATATGTTTTCGCTTACCCAACCACTGCAGCGTCTTTCAAGCTGAGGTCGCTGCTCTGCAGGAAGCGGTTGAACACCTACGTACAAGAGAAGTCATTTATAACGATATCTTCATTTACTCAAACAGTCAGGCCGCACTCAAAGCGCTCGAATCGCTTACATGCAGTTCAAAACCCGTAGCGGACTGTTGCAGATCTGTAAACGAGATGGCTGAGCAGTCTGCGTTTCACTTGGTATGGGTTCCGGGGCACCGGAACATACCAGGCAATGAAAAGGCGGACGAACTTGCAAGAGAGGGCACATTCGCTTCCCTTTCGCGGGCCTGGAAGGGATTAGACATGCCGCTGCTACCTGTAAGCTCATTCTAAGGGATCTGTCTCTTAAACTAGCAAGGCACAGGTGGGATAGCCTTACTACTTGCAACAACACGAAGCTTACATGGCCAAAATGGGACAAAAAGCGGTCGAGGGATCTCCTCATGCTGAGCAGAGGGGACCTAGCGGCAGCTGTGGGTCTGCTAACAGGCCATGTTGCTATTGGAAGGCACGCGGAGAGTTTAGGGATCCCCCATAACGACTTCTGCAGAAGCTGCAGAAATGAAGAAGAGCCAGAAACCTTGCGGCACCTGTTATGCGATTGCCCCGCACTTTGTAGAAGAAGACAAAAGTTTATGGGTTCAGGATTCTTTGAGGACCTAACCGACATAGCCGAAGTAGGCATACGGCAACTTCTGGTTTTCGCGAAATCCACACGATGGTTTGAGTAGGAGGGTTCTAACGATCCGCGTGGTATCACAACGGGCCCACAACCAAGGGCCTATGTGTGCTAGTGGGGTCACTGGCAGCCACTTCAACCTAACCTAACCTAACTTAAGAGTTACTGTAGTGCTTTATCCGATCTGAAACAATAGCCGCTCGCTGTAATTTAAAAACTAGCTAAAAACTAGAAACATCAGTCATGACAAATTGGAAGCTGTGGTCCGTAGCTCGTCGTTTTCAATGTGTTCAGAACTTCATGGTGACCAAAGTATTCTCTGCTAAGCGTTAATTGTAGCAGGCACGGGCGTTATTCTCGCTGCTGTCGAAGCGACGCCAGCGCCAACGCAACACCAATGTTGTTTGGTTTACAATGGGCTTGCATGTACAACTATTGTATGCCCTGAACTTGAGCAATTCTTGCGGCTGTTTGAAATTTTGGAGAACTACAGTATTCATATTTCTTGAAAATATTTTTGCGATTATTTTACAATTAATCGATTAATGAAACACAAACTACGCTGCAAGGCGAATTTATACAAGGTGGTGTTGATGGCGAATTTAGATTATCGCCGCGGTACTTCTTAATGTCAAAATGATGTGTTTGTTGTTGTATGAATTCGCCTTGTTTACAACAAAGACATCATTTTGACATTAGGAAGTACCGCGGCGAAAATCTAAATTCGCCATCAACACCACCTTGTATAAATTCGCCTTGCCACGCTGGAAGAACTCCCTAAGCATGTTGCCCATCACTGCCCTAGATACACCAGTGCACCTTTGACATTTGATTTGAGCGCATAAGCTCGCTCACTAATCACGGATTTTTTGTTAACAACGGTTGCGCTCAACTAATGTGCCTTCTGCACGTACCCACTGTTTTAACGTACAAATTTTATAGTACCCATAACTGTAACAACAATTAAGTAAAACGACAAGACTTGAATAAATCGTTAAAATACATATGTGACTGGCCGTCTTCAACTGGATTATAATCTAGAGTTTTGTTGACTTTGGTCATACTTACGGAGACCATCCGTCCTTTATTTTAAAGGACAGTCCTTTATTTTAACCCCCTGTCCTTTATAATTTTTTTCAAAATAAAGGACGCCTTTTGTCCTTTATTTATTAAATTGTCCTTTAAATCCGCTCTGCATTTTTCATAGGTAAATTTTTAAACACAGAATATGAAAACTAAAAATCTCCCTTACAAAATATAATGAAAACCTCCGCCAGTTTGTTTCGCCGCCACTTAATCTATCTTTCTATTTAATCGATAAACTTTGTACAATTTGTAAAGCAGGATCGTGTTGCGCGCTAAGTTTTCAATTCCACTAAAAAACAAAACAATAAAACCCTGCTGCACAAACTGGCATTTAATTTGATTAATTTTTATTTTTTAATGAAAGATTATAATATTTGCAAGAGACCAGTTGAGCCCGATTTGTGAATATTTATTTGATTATATTAAATTTTTAGTAAAACATGCAGAAAAGGTAGCAATTTTGATGAAAATGTATTCTCCGTTTCCAGTTAACAAATGTTACATAACAGAAACTAGTTAAAAACAATTGTATGGTTCTCCCAAAACGAAAAAATTACACAAGAAAATGTTGAAATATTATAAAAAATGTTACCAAACCAAAATAAATATTTTTCTTTTGTTTTTAGTACAAATTAGTTGGAAAAAGAAGGCTCCGGAAAATTATCAACATTAAATTCCAATTTTGAACCACTGTGTGCTGGCTTCGTCGTGCAGTATGGTATGGTAAACGCATTTTGGTAGCAAAGGACTGCGAAGTCCTTGAAAAGGATTTGGCTTAATTTTTCACTACAGCAGCTACTGGTAAATATTTGATTTAAATTACGATATGGGTAAGGTACTTTTATCATACAAGTTGTATGTACGTATTCCCAAATAATTTTGAAAAAATTTCCTTTATTTTACGTTGGTTAATATGGTCACCGTAGTCATACTAAATCTTACTTTGGTTTCTTACATAAGTCAAAGAGTGATTATTTTGTTTGGAGCATACATACATACATACATACATAAGCAGTTACCAAGTTGGGAAGAGTAAGACTTCAAGAATGACTTTTTAACCGACTTCAAAAAGGAAGAGGTTATCAATTCGTCGGAATATTTTTTTTTGTATAACTTTTGACCGCGTTAACCGACTTCAGTTCCTCCCATGCTAAATTGGCATAGATCCGATCATTGGCTCATAAAGAAATTAAGGCTACTTTTAAATTTTTATATGAGAATTAAATTCGGTTTTTTTTGGTTAAAAATTACTTGTTTTCTTCTTATAAGCCAACATTAACACATATTATCATAAATTTTTTACACATCATAAATGAATAGCTGGCATACACTTTTGCATACTTAACTTGAGATTTTCTTTAGAAAACTATCCTATCCCTATCTATGTAAGTTTCTTGATTTTTTACAAAGGTAAACAAATTTAAGTTTAAAAGTCATGAATGCTTTCATATTCATTATTTTATTAAATGCTGTAGGAAGTACTACTCATATTTTATTGTTTTAAAATTCTACTAGGTTTTTGGTGAGTACTCTTCTCACTTTTGTATGGCTCTTGAACGTTTGAGTTAAGGCCTTTCCATTGTGTATTAAGATAACGAAATGGTTGTAAATGTACAAACGATTTTATACACACCTTATACTTGGCATATCACGATAGTAACTGTGTCCAGTGTCCACCTGCCCGTAGCGACAGCCTTCGGCGGCATTTAGAACATGAGTAATTCCCATCATTCGAAGAAAAGATTTGTTTTTTGCCGCAGCCCTGTAATATAGAAGAAATAGTTGCACGCAATAATTCAAAGTTATATACCATGCTTCAATAATACAAGGTTGATAAATATTTAGTCTGTTCCAATAGCAGTCCGGTTTACAGGATTTAGTCAGAACTTACAGGAAGTCGTTCCTATTGACATAAAACCTGTAAGTGGGAACACATTTGAGCGAGTAACTGAGCAACTGTTCCTAGTCAGAAGTTACAGGATTTAGTCCGTAGTTTTTTTTTCTGTAAGTTCATCAAAAGTGTCAAACGATCAGCTGATTTACATGTGCAAACAAAAACAGAAAGCGGTGAAAGCAAAGAACCTTATATTTGTTAAAAAATGGAAGTAAACAACGAAATATTTGAATATGTATAGA